GTCGCTCAATATCGGTGTTTTTAACTTTTAACATTTTACTTTGCACTGTATATTTGTGTTGGACGTGGCTGCATCGCAGTTGTTGGTCGCTCAATATTGGTGCTTTTTCTAACTATTTAACTGTTAACCAATTTTATTTGTTTTTATGCCTACAACACTCTCATTTACACACACCCTCCCTCCCTACCTTACCCACTATTTAGTGGAGACTTGGGAACCCTTTCATTAGGGATTCCATACCACACCTGTAATGCCACAAAGGTTGCTAGAGAAACTACTGTTTTTTTTTTTTTTTTTTTTTTTTTTTTTTTTCAAAGCTATGGTGGGTACCTAACAGTAGGGGTACCATTTTGGGTACTAGTCAACTCTTTGAATGGTTTATGGTGTTCACATACTTCCATTCACTCCACTTTCTATTTTATTTTCAACTAATCTTCCTATTAATTTATTCAGCACAAACTACATATTAACTCAGACATAGTTTAATCATTGCCTCCCACAATTCACACCACTTACATATTTTTACTATCTCCTCCCACACTGGCACTTCATATAGTTTTCGCTAGTTCTTTATTATTATAATTATTTTTAACTGCCTTTTATTTATTTTTCAATATATATGTATTTTGTTCTCTAATTTATCTACTCTACTTTGTTTAGATTAATTTTATTTGACCTATACAGGAGATCGAGGTAGATTATTTTGAGCAATAAAATGGGGAGTCTATCAAGTACAACTTTTCTTTTTTTGCATCTTCTCTCAGTCTTTTTCTATTTCTTCAATTTCCTTCTTTCCTGGACTCGACACGGGAATGTCGGGCATATGACCTGGTACCGGGTTAGAAACATTCCTGCTCAGTTGTGCTATGCCCTGATGATTCACAACTTTTTAGAGCCTTGGTGTCGATGCATCCATTGTCCCAATATACCCGGGTCTCTTAACCTTCTCTTTCCTACTCTTCCATGTTTTCTTTTATCTGCAAATTACCTTTTTCTACTTCCTGAATTTTACACTAAAAAGTTTCAAGAACGAAGTAATTCGGGATGGGTATTCTTTTGTTGTTGCTGTTGTTGTTTTATTTCTTTTCCCACTTCCTCTTTTTATTGTAGATGTTTTTTTTTTTTTTTTTTTTTTTTTTTTGTTTTGTTTTGTTTTGTTTTTGTATTTGTTTTTGTTTTTACTTGAGTCCCCTGTTCTTTTTTTAACACCCTCCTTTAATTAGAACAGCTACAAATTTTTTTTTTTTTTTTACTCTCGATGTTCTAAAGAACGAAATAATATTATAGATCATCATATTTTGTGGTTAGCAATTTATCTTCTTTAATAACAATTTTTAAAGAGGGTTTAACCCCCCCTTTTTTTTTTTTTTTTTTTTTTTTTCGTTTTATTTTTTTCCCGCCCATTTCCTTATTCATTTAGCTGGGATAAATTCATCCCCATGCTCCTCCCATTTTCCACTAGAACAGCAACTGGTTTTTTAGCCACTTTCAAAGTTTTAAGAACGAAATAACATTATAGATAATTATATTTTCTGGTTGGCAGTTTATTTATTTATTTATCTATTTTTTTAAAAAAAGTCATGTTTAAGTAGGGTAACCCCCTTTTTTCATCCATTTTCGTTTTCATTCAGCTGGGATAAGTTCGTCCCCAGACTCCTCTCATTTTGTACGTCATCATGCTGACGATTAACTATGGCGTGAGCAGCAGAAAAATTGTTTTAGCTACTTTTTGTGGGCCACATCCATGAGAAGAGGAATTTTTGTCTACTAACTGAGGAGTTTCCAAGTTTTTTTGCTCGCTAATTGGTCTGCTACGGAGGCTATCTGAAGTATTGTAGAGTAAGTAATCATTTACCTTTTTTTTTTTTCAAGACCTTTCAGTACTTTCATGTGTCAATTAAAAATGCTGCAGGCATCTTGCTACGGTTATAGCTAATGGATCTATTTGCCCTAGAAACCTGTTTCCCTCGTTTCAAGGTGCCTAACTTTATATTATATTATATATTAACCCTTCAGTTCCTTTTTGTTTTATTTTGCACTGTGTATTGTGTTGGACGTGGCTGCATTGCAGTTTGTTGGTCGCTCAATATCGGTGTTTTTAACTTTTAACATTTTACTTTGCACTGTATATTTGTGTTGGACGTGGCTGCATCGCAGTTGTTGGTCGCTCAATATTGGTGCTTTTTCTAACTATTTAACTGTTAACCAATTTTATTTGTTTTTATGCCTACAACACTCTCATTTACACACACCCTCCCTCCCTACCTTACCCACTATTTAGTGGAGACTTGGGAACCCTTTCATTAGGGATTCCATACCACACCTGTAATGCCACAAAGGTTGCTAGAGAAACTACTGTTTTTTTTTTTTTTTTTTTTTTTTTTTTTCAAAGTTGTGGTCGCAGAAATTAAGACTCTATCATCAGATCATACAGCCTAAAATAAGAAACTGCTTATATCAAACAGCTAATTAACTAACCTACTAATCAGGCGTTCAACCGACAAAGGAACCTTTTTATTCTGCAGTATGACAAAGGTTTAATACGATCTTGGCGGTTTTGTCTGATTACTTAAATTTACTCCAAGCTAGGAAACTCTGAGACCTGCTTTCACTGAAATCAAAATCAACAAAATCATGAGTGCAGAGCGAAGAACTGAAAAGATATGAAACTCTTACCGGAATTTCTTTTCGTGTCTTGCATTTACGTTTTAAACCCACACGGGATTCGGGGAAAAGTTTATACAACTACGACTTGTTTTTCACGATCCTCTCTACCTCAATATAACACCACTGGAAACTCTTCTTGTCGACGACAAGTTCGACTGTAGCTTTGCTTGTGTTCATAACAAACTCTGTATTTCCTTCAACTTGGCAGAGACGTCTGCAGAAAAACTTTGGTGCGAGCTTCTTCCATCTAGCATCTATAACAACACAGGGGAAATCGTTTTAAATTTTAGATTTGACCATTACAGCATACAGGTTAGTAGCAAACCTACAATAATTGATGTAGCCTAATATATAATTGCGTATTTTCTACAACTTATGGTGAACCACAGACAAGAATGAAAGTTATCTATCTAGAAGTGAAGATATAAAAGAACAAAACAATTAAAAAGCGGGTGTTATTTTTTTTAATTCATTTTTCGGCGTGATTCAGCCACTTAACATATAATGTTTTTAGGTTTATGTCTGGTTGTTCGATTTCTATATTTTTTTGTTTCTTCAAATGTTAACCGGCATTTTTTTTGTAATCTCGAAGAGCTTTCTAAATACTGTTAGTAACTGACTGTTTTACTTATTACTTCCAGCAAAAATGCATTTGACTGGTAGAACAAACTATACCAAGAAAATGACGCTTGAGAACTTCGATAAAAGCTACTAACAGTCTGGCCCGGGTTGCTCGAAGCATGGTTTGTGCTAACCAGCGTTAAATACCATGGAAACCTATACACTTTGATACCTCTTAACCAACGGTTAGCGCTAACCAGGCTTCGAGCAACCGGCCCCAGGTTGTTGGTTGTATTAACAGGCTCTCGGAGTAAAATGGCAGCATTGATAATGAGGAAGTGCAGAACGTTTGTTTCCATTATAATCACAATCATTGTGTTTTAATGTAATATTTTTTTTTTTCCTGCAGAATCCTTGTACTAATGTTCCTTGTTTGAACAATGGGATCTGCTCCCTGATTTCGTTCAGAGATGGAACGTATAGTTGCACTTGTCTTCCTAGATATTTTGTCGATGAGTGTGAAATCTGTAAGTTAACGTAAAATTACTTCAAGTTAACAAGAGGACCTTTTCGAGATATGAACAAGCTATTAAGATTTAGTAAAATCCAATTAGTGGTTTATTATCAATGCTGCGTTCTGATTGGTTGAGTTACTACTAGGCAAATGTTACAGCCCACTATATCTAGTGGCGAAAAGCGCGATCTTTTTGGCGGCAAAAAAGGATTAAAGTCTAGCAGTAACTAGCTAAAAGTTTTTTATTCTCGATATTTTTGACCAACTAGTTGGATTTAAGACAATTATTCCTCTCCCCCTCATGGCCTCTTAGTCAATAGCCCTTTCGGCCTTCGGCCTCATGGGCTATTGACTCAGAGCCCATTCGGGCTCGAGGGATAATTGTTAAATAGTTACAACAACAACAACAACTAATAACCAGCTCAAATTGTTAGATACCCAAGCTTCTAGTTAGAGCTGTTCACCTCGGCTTTGAGTTGTATGTGAATACAAAATAGCGGAACTCTTTTACTTTTTTGTTAATTCAGATGCACCAGAGTGCCGGGACTATAACGTCCTCAGTCAACCCAATCGTCACCAGTCTTTTGGCCGAGGCACTAACTCAGACAGCAATCTTGTCCCCGGCTGGTATCGCTTCCAATCAAGTTCATACTCAAGATTGGTAGACAATTGTATTCAGGTCCACAGATGCACTACAGATATAACTGGGTGGTTAAAAGGTGGCCACCCCACCTTTAAAGATGGCATCGTGGACAGAAAAGCTTGCTTCCACGGATGGCAAAACTGTTGTTATAGGATAGTTAACTAACAGATTTAGTTAGTAATAATTTAGTTAATAGCAGAAAGTCTAGTGATTTATAGGGATTCGAAAATTTCAGCCAGAAAAAAGGCTCCCGAAAATTCTGCGTGACCTTTTTAGAGTAAAAATCCGTTAAAAATGGGCAATTATTCCATTTTTTAGATGTTCGAGAAACCTAGGATAGGCAGGAAAGTAAGAAATTTTACAACAAATGTTCCGAAAATCCTAGATCTCAAATCGTCTTCCGAACAGATATTTTGCAAAAATTGACGTTGGGAGCCCCTGATTGGATAATTAACGGGTATTATCTAATTTTACTTGACTGCAGTCAGCCCGTTGCCAATAAAGGCATCAGCAACCATCCGGGTAAGAAAGCGAAGAAACGTTTTGAACGACACTTCGACTGGCATCACCATACATGAAATAAGAAAAGAAATCAGCAAACAGTTTGAACAACTTATGCCCACCAAGTACTGTAAGTCAAGTGAGAAGGTCTGTCCTGCAGGTCCCCCCGGACTTCCTGGTCCCACTGGGGTAAGGGGACCACGTGGCAGGAGGGGCCCAAAAGGAAAGAAAGGTCCTCAAGGTCCCATGGGACCACCTGGAAAATCCGGAAAAACAGGAATAACTGGTCCTGCAGGACCGAGAGGAGAAAAGGGAGATAAAGGAGAGCCTGGGCCAAAAGGCATGCCGGGACCACCTGGAAAGCCTGGAAAATCGATATCTGCTCCACAAGTGATGTTGACGCCAGCAGAGCAGACACGAGATGAGGGAGGAAATACGGCATTTTATTGCACGGTTGTAGGAAACCCTTCCCCAGTCGTGGAATGGCAATTTAAGGGCACAAAGCTTCTGTCAGGTGCAAAGTATCTGATTAAAGAAGGAGAGTTGATAGTTAGAAATCTGAATTACAGCGATGCTGGACCGTACACATGTGCTGCCAGGAACATTCTTGGATCGTCTGAGGCCACTAGCAACTTGACTGTTCGAGGTAAGAGGAGCATTTAACTTAATTAGAGTTTTGTTATATCTGGCTGCTTGATTTTGTAGGCTTCTTTGTGCTCAGAGAATGCGAGAATACGAGGTTGGAATATAAAAATGGCACCGTTAATTGTTTCATCATTTACTTTTATCTCTTCTTTAATTTTTTTTTTATTTCTTAAGCAGTGTATAACGCCAAACTTTAAATTTACTCACTCATACCTTATACTAATGATCGAAGACTATAGATTTTGCTCATTGGCATTAGGCTAGTAGTCACGAGTGTAGTTCAACTTTTAATCTGAGCCATACAAACATAACGACATTAAATCTGATCTCTCAGAACTCCTACCCCATTATATTCTATGCATGCTGGTCGATCATGTATTGACTCTATTTCAGGTCTTCCAGTCTTCACAAAAGTTCCACCTTCACTTGCCACACCAGTTCAAGGCACTACGTTTCAAGTAACATGTCAAGCTGATGGATATCCTCGCCCAACGGTAACCTGGACTAGAATAGGAATGCCTTTACCTGCTGGAAAGACTAGTATAAACCAAGGCACACTTACCATTAACAACTTGAGTCCTGCTGACAACGGTTTTTACGACTGCATAGCTACTAACATTATAGGAACAAAGAAGAAAAGAATCAACCTAGCAGTTCAAGTACATCGTTCAGGTTTGTATTGAAGGCACCGTCTCACTCTGAGGCTACTCTGTATATACCTGCTTCAATAAAAGGTTGCTTTGGTAATTGGGCACTGGGAATTTGGGCGTACGGAACTCACTGCAAGAATTGCTTGAGTGTCCACCAAACAATAGCTTCCCAGCGCGCAATTATACAATGCCCAAAGCAAGAATCTGGTACTCTTAGATTAAACGTTAATTTCAGTAATGCAAATCGCCTTATCCAGCTTGCGATTTTGGTTAAACACCAGGTAAGAGTGTTCATTATGAAGGACAGTTTTTCGAAAGTCTAAATTTGCCACTGCGGGAACTATACAGCTATACCGAAATATATCGCAGGGTGATCTTTCCGAAGACCGCTTTATTTTAATTTTTGTTGTTTCTTTGTTTGTCTGTTTATTTTTCAGGCATTCAAAAACCATGTAATCACTGCTAAAGCCAGACGAGAGCTACTATCCTTGCGAGTGTATGTTGCGCTTACGGAAATTGGCAACTTAAGACCATTATGCGTGTTTACTAGAGTTTCAATGATCTTAAATGCTTAAACGTCCTTATCAGCGTGCAAATCACGTACATGCATGCATACATGCTTTCTTTAGTCTCTTGCAATGTTACTCTTTTTCTCAATAAATTCAGTTGTTGTAACATTTTAGAAACTTTTTACCTTGTCATTTTATGGACGTTGACTTTTAATACTTAGGTTTTGAAAGCTCAGTCATTGTGGGAAACAACAGAAATCACTTGACCTTGTTAAGAAACTGGCTAGTACCTGTGGCAAAAAGCGTGAATTCTCTCTGGAAGCGCTGTTGGCGTGCATCTGTAGATGGCTGGGCTGCAAGTACATTTCACTCCCGATGTGACGGCAAGGGCCCGACTGTGACAATAATAAGGGTCGGGAGATATATTTTCGGAGGATACACAAGTCTTTCATGGGGTAAGAGAGCATTATAAGCCATGACAGTGGCATTTATACCTTTGGCGTAACTGGCATTGATATGTTCAGCTAAAGGTGCAGCTTGGTACTTGGTACATGGTTAAGCAGTGGCGGACAAAGGTTCTAGGTTAATAGCTCTAGATGCGGGCCCATATCCCCTCGTTCCTCAAGGAGCGAGAACCGCCCCTCCTACACTCACATGGTGTGAATGAACGCCCCACCCCTTTTCTAGAGTTCTGGCGCTGCAGATGGTAGGTGATGCATTTCTAGCTTGGCAAAACGTGCCCAAATTCCAGGCCAATACTACCGAATTATAATAATTTTGAGGTTCTAATTGAGGACCGCCCCTCCCACACTTACATGGTGTGCATGAGCGCCTACGTGATACACCAAGACGAAGGTTCATTTCACCGATCAAACTTTCGTAATTTTGCCTGAGCGAAATGTCGCGAAGAGGATTCTTCTCTTCGGATTCGAACGAGCTTAATAGATTGAAATAAGTGACAGAAATACATAATGCTTTATACCTTTTCAAGAATAAAGGCTCCTAAAACTCTTTATTGTCTGTTTCCTTTATTGTCTTCTTAATACAGTACCCTTAAAATCGAACGAAGTATTAATTTACCAATAAAAGTGTATTGCAACATGCACCAGTTCATGTCCAGTATAGCTGTATCTTTTACCAAAATACCTGCTCGTAAATAATAATACAATAACATAATATTCATACTAATAATAATGATGATGATGATGATAATAATAATAATAATAATAATAATAATAATAATATAATAATAACGATAATAATAATATTGATAATGATAATGATAATAATAAAGAAGACAGAAACTGATTTCGTTTTTGATAAATGACGAACGTTACTGAGAAACTCGATCGCATTTGTTTTATGAAAATAAGGTATTTACTGTTTTTAATTAATAACAATCATCATCATCGTCATCATTATGACAGGCACATTTTTCTTATCTCAATTTCTCTCGTGACTGACCTTTTTTATTATAAATATGGTTCTTTTTCACTTCAACTTTTCGTAATAAATCTTAAGCCGTCTACACACCACCTGCCTCGATTAGCCTTGCTATTTGCAGGTGGTGTGATATTTGTATATTTAATGTAAGAAATAAAGATGTTGTTGTTGGCACAAGGACAATGTCGCTAAAAGTTTTGTTTCATTTCTTTTAGCTTCTGCTTCTGGCCAGTATCAATACGACTCAAAAGCCTTCTTATTTTCGCTTTTAAACAAGCCAGGATGGGCGCCTGTCAAATTGTCTCAGTCAGGGCAATATTCCATATACTTTTACTCATCCTATGGGCCTACATTCGGAGGAGGAAATGACATTACCATCAGAAACTACGCGTCATCTAATAGCGATTCTTACAGCAACCTTGGCTATACTTACAGCCCACCGAGCGGATACAGCTACGGCAGCACCTTCGCACAAACATTCCTGGCAGGAACATCCAGCTTCACACCAGACGAAGTTGAAACCTTTTACGAAACAACCTAATTAATATAATGCGTGACACCGGCTTTGATATTTGAGCTGAGCTGATTGTACAAGTAGACGCTTAGAGGTGAACGAATCTACAGCACTAAGCAAGCCCCTTATATCTAAATCAAAACACAATCATTAGAACGTATACTACAACATTTCACAAACAAACGAAAAATAGAATTGTCAAAAAGAGAAATGATTTTGATATCTATAACTGGTCCAACTACTCTGATTATAAATGGCTGATAAAAGCGTGTTATAAAGTATCTCCCCAGCTGTTCACAGTACCGCGTAGGCCTTAACCCAGCCCTAATCTTTTTTTCACCTGGGTATGAGTCTAGCTGGGGACAGCTATACTGTCAGCCGTCAGAAAACAGTTACTTCCTTATCATGAGGGCAAAGAAAACTCAGCTTCCGAGTAAACAAAGTTGAAAAAAAAAGCAGTACAGTGATATTTTACTGAACGAGGCTGTCCTCACTGGCGGTTTGTAACTGTGGCTTGGCCTTCATAAGTATTATAATAATCCATAAGGAACTTAAGAGTCTTAAGAGATAATACTGATCAAAGTTTGGTTTTACTCGGTCCGCGTGCCTAATGCTGGATACCACTATATAAATATTAGCAATCAAAGATTAAAATTACTATCTCTAATCTCATATACAGGTATAGACTGCTTGCAGTCACGTGACAATCCCGATCGCCTTCTGGCAGTGTAGTAATTAAATTTAAGAGCGTTGGGTTACTAATTCCTGTAAGCCCTACGTATAATATCTGAGGCACATCAGTAGCCATCATGACTGTTCTAGTATATAAAATATTAATGTAATATACACTCATAAGAAATGTATACTGATAGTAAATAGACAAGAGATCACGTTCACGGGCTAGTATTAATTGTTTTTACAAACAAGAATTAAAATTCAATAAAATTACTCAGTTTTGATATAAAAAGAGAGCTTCATTCTCTCAACGTTATCAATAATGTCTGTTAATGGTCACGTGGTCAACCTTGTTTTCTTTTCCTGAAACGTCATGTTTGATTTAAGCAATAATTTAAAATATGGTATCTGTTGGAACTTTGAACACATTTGAGTGCTGCAGGAGGAACGTTAACAACAGTCAGAGCAGCCCGGCTTATGTCAATCTAATGTAAGCTAATTTTAACCAATGCACTCGTTTTTATAGGCTTAATGAAAAGGGATCAGGTTTAACTTCCAACTTTCCCTCAAACGTGGAGAGACTGTGACAGAAAACAAGAATTAAATTAAATAAAATTACTCATGCTCGAATGTTTGTTACTAAAAGAGGAACTTTATTCTCTCCGCGTTATCGAAAATGATAAATAAAGCCAATGGTCACGTGGTCAACCTCTTACCTTTCCTGTAAACGTGATGTTTGGTTTCTGCAATATTTTAGAATACGGAAATTGTTGCAACTTTGACCACGTTTGAGTGCAACAAGAGAAAAGTTACCACAGGCAGAATAGCCCAGCTTACGTCAATCTAATGTAAGCTAACACTTTTGTTTTTCTGGGCTAAATCAGAAGAGGATCAGGTTTAACTTGAAACTTTCTCTCAAACTTCCGTCTTCGAGTGGCTGTAAAAGAAAACGATCGTAAAACTACAAAAATGAAAACCGTAAACTCTTCCAAATCTCAACGAGTCCTTGAGTTTGTTCCGTCAATTAGACCATCGTTCCTTTCGGTGGTATTAGTTTTAGTTTGCGGATGTCTCTGGGTGAAAAATGTAAGCCAACACTCTTGTTTTTCTGGGCTAAATCAGAAGCGGATCAAGTTTGACTTGCAACTTTCACTCTGGTTGAAAACTCCCGTCTTCGAGTGGCTGTGAAAGAAAACGATCGTAAAAGTACAAAAATGAAAACCGTAAACCCTTCAAAATCTCAACGAGTCCTTGAGTTTGTTCCGTCAATTAGACCATCGTTCCTTTCGGTGGTATATAGTTTTAGTTTGTGGATGTCTCTGAGTGAAAAATGAAGCAACAAACGAACGACTGATTTCACTGGAATCTCGTATTTACTGTGTTCCTTGCACTAAGCGTGGCACGATTGATAATCTTGACAGGATGGCTTTCTCACCGACAAAAGATATCGCAATAGACCTTTCCAAGAAGGTGAAGGCACAAGTTTCAGATGATGGGAACGGCTATACCTGAGGTAAAATTTATTCTTACTCTTCTTACTTGGATGGCCTTATGTACATTGAGGATGTTCAGACCTGCTTTTATTCTCCCTCGGTTAAGACACAACCTTTCATGACGTGAGTTCGCGTTAACAACACGGGATGTTTTGCAATTCCAAAATAGTATCAGATTTTAACTTAGTCTGACTTGGACTGTATGAAACTGTTTTGTAATGCTCCCTAGATCTGCCAGTAATTAAGCCAAGACCACTGATAAAAAACTGAAAATATCTACAGCGTAAATGAAGTTGAATTTATAAATAATGTGTTTTCAAGGGCAGAACAAGATTCCTTCACGCGCCAGATATCGATATCATTACTATACAGCTTTTAAACAAGATTGTCTTTTTAGGATTTTTAGCTAAACGACATTAGATGAGGTTCCTTAAACATTTCTTTAAGTGAGGGCTGCATGTGCTTCTGCTTTGAGGTTATTTGGGGTCTCGGAATTGAAAGGTATTGCGTGACCAATTTCAAGCAATAATGACCCAATTCTTGGCAATTCATTTTTAGATTTATCTGTTTGCTTCGACTGAGCTATTTTCGTTCATAGTTTACCACTTTCTGGATAAATTTTCGAATAGTATAGACATTATAGATCAGTGTAGACAAAAGGTGTGTATTAAGAGATTATTCATGGAGATATTTCCATTTCTTTCAAAGGAGTTCAGTCTAGTTTGAAAAACCTTTCTTAACCCTTATGGGATCACAAGAGCGATTGAAAGTTGCTAGGTGTATTCAAGATCTCGGCTGGCTTGAAATTCGTGCGCAGGTCTTAAGATTCGATTCTTGTTCCTTTTTAAGTTACCTTTATCAGAAATGTCAGCCGTATCATTCTTTCGTTCCTTCTCGATCTTGTTCATTTTTACAATTTATCAATGGATAATTAAAAGGTATTATCTAATTTTACTTAACTGCAGTCAGCCCGGCATCAGCAACCATCCTGGTAAGAAAGCGAAGAAACGTTTTGAACGACACTTCAACTGGCTTCACCATACAAGAAGTGAAAAAAGAAATCAGCAAACAGTTTGAACAACTTATGCCCACCAAGTACTGCAGGTCAAGTGAGAAGGTATGTCCTGCAGGTCCCCCCGGATATAATGGTCCCATTGGAGCGAGGGGACCACGTGGCAGGAGGGGACCAAAGGGAAAGAAAGGTCCTCAAGGTCCCATGGGACCTCCTGGAAAATCCGGAAAAACAGGAATAACGGGTCCTGCAGGACCGAGAGGAAAAAGGGAGGCAAAGGAGACTCTGGGCCGAAAGGCATGCCGGGACCACCTGGAAGGCCTGGAAAATCGATATCTGCCCCACAAGTGATGTTGTCGGCAGCAGAGCAGACACGAGATGAGGGAGGAAATACGGCATTTTATTGCACGGTTGTAGGAAATCCTTCCCCAGCCGTGGAATGGCAATTTAAGGGCACAAAGCTTCTGTCAGGTGCAAAGTATCTGATTAAAGAAGGAGAATTGATCGTTAGAAATCTGAATTACAGCGATACTGGGCCGTATAAATGTGCTGCCAGGAACATTCTTGAATCGTCTGAGGCCACCAGCAACTTGACTGTTCGAGAGAACAGGAGCATTTAACTTAAAGTTTTGATATATCTGGCTGCTTGATTTTGTAGGCTTCTTTGTGCTCCGAGAATGCGAGAATACGAGGTTGGAATATAAAAATGGCACCGTTATTTAATCATTTACTTTTATCTCTTCTTTCATTTTTTCTTATTTCTTAAGCAGTGTATAACGTCAAACTTTAAATTTACTCACTCATACCGTATGCTAATGATCAAGGCCTAGTATAGATTGTACTCATTGGCATCAGGCTAGTAGTCACGTGTGTAGTTCAACTTTTAATCTGAGCCATACAAACATAAAGGGGAGGTTACTTAGGTTAACTTTTGCTGGATATGTGCCGCTGGCCTCTCAAAACGCCTACCACATTATATTCTATGCATGCTGGTCGATCATGTATTGGCTCTATATTTCAGGTCTTCCAGTCTTCACAAAAGTTCCACCTTCACTTGCCACACCACTACAAGGCACTAAGTTTCAAGTAACCTGTCAAGCTGAAGGCTATCCTCGTCCTGTAGTAACCTGGATTAGAGCGGTGCTACCTTTTCCTGCCGGCAGGACTGAGCTGAGGTAAACAAGGGTACATTAACCATTAAGAACCTAAGCCCTGCTGACAACGGTTTGTACGAATGTGTGGCAACAAACATCATTGGAACAAAGAAGGGCAGGATCAATGTGGCAGTGCAATGCAGCTCAGCTGCAGGTTTGTCCTAGGCAACAAGGCAGTAGGGGCGGGTCCAGGATTTTTCTAAGGTAGGGTGTACCACTAAGGAATGGCGTAAGAGACTGATGACCTAAACCAGGGGCCTATTACAAGAATTTTTCAGTGCCAAACTACTTGAACACCAATAAACCACATTATTTATTATTATTATTATTTATTTGTTATTTTCTTTTTTTGCAGAATACTAGTTGTATTAGAAAGCCGCAGATCCCTTAAGGGAATGTGGTGCGCAACCCCCTGTTAGGACATAATCACAGCATCACTCAGACTTCTTAAGTTAAATTTGTATAGGACTGACAGTGATGGTCTTTCATATTGTTATAAAGATTTATAAAAAGAGTGTCATTGTTATAGGTTGACCTTTGAGTGGCATGTTTTTAAAGGGAAAAGGAAAGGGGGGGCATTTACTAGAGTTTAAATTTGAAATACTAAAAATTTCTTCGCCAGAAAATAAAGTGGCACTTGATATCCAGTCTCTCGTCACTTGGATGCTGTTACACTTGGCAAGGAAATGAACTGTTGAAGAGTTTTTAAACAGTTCTAGTTATATTCTTGGCCATAACAGCGTTCTTTTGCCAAATAAAAGAAGTAGATTTTTTTCCTCCCAGGTTTGCACGACTCCGTTATTTGTGGGAAGCAACAATAGTTACTTAATCTCGTTCAACAACTGGCTGGCACCTGTGGCAAAAAGCGCTAATTCTCTCTGGAAACGCTGTTGGCGTGCATCCGTGGACGGATGGGCTGGAAGTACATTTCACTCCCAATGTAACGGCAAGGGCCCGACTGTGACAATAATAAGGTTCGGGAGATACGTTTTTGGAGGATACACCAGTAAATCCTGGCGTAAGTGCGCATTGTAAGGGGCGGTTACCTGTATCTTTGCAGTTACTTGCATGGATATGTTGGGCTAAAAGTGCAGCTTGATAGCTTCGTACTGAGCAATGCGGAGTCAGTTTGACCTTGCATGGTTAAGCAGTAGCCGATAAAGGATTCTGGTTGGCGGATCTAGATTCGGACGCGCACCCCCTAGCCCCTCTAAAACCGAGGACCCCCCTCCTTGACTCACAAGGAATTAGCAAATGTGGCAAAAAACAACTACAGCAACAGATTTTTTTGTTGACCATAATTTTAACAGATTTGCTCTATACAAGTTACAACAGGAAATATCTAATCACCCGACGTTTTCTTTATTATTCTTCAAATATTTTTTTGCTCGAATCTATTGCTTTGTAATTGCAAATTTTTGCTTTTAAACAGCTCTCATAGACGAAAACCTTAGCTCCGGTAAGCGAACAGTCTCTTAGGTTTCAGGACCCCAATTGTTAACCTCTCGTTGAAAAGTGGCTGCTTGCGGGAGGTTTCATTGTAAGCAATTTTAGTTTAATTTTAAAAATGAAACACTGCAGGCTCCTGGCACATTCTCATGGTTATTTTATCAATAATTTATAAAGCACTTAGCATCTGTAAATTTTGTTCCATTAATTGTATATTACTAGGTGACCCAGTGATTTACATTTTTCGTTTTAATTGGATGTGTTTGGAGTTATTCCTGTCGAGGGTATAGATGTAAGCAGGGTCATGATTAATCATGAGTGGATTTAAATTCAAGGGGTAATCGGCCGTGTATTCCAAAGTGTTTATTTGCTTTTTTTGAGCTATTTTGAAAAAATAGCTCATATGTCAGTGGTGTGAGCGTATGTATCTTTGTGGCTTTGTATCTTTGTAACTTTGTATCTTTGTATCTTTGTATCTTTGTATCTTTGTAACTTTGTATGTTCGGATGTTTGTTGCAAGAGCCAATGGGGTTGAAGGTACTATTAGTTGATGCTTAGGAACCAATGAGATCTTGGCGTCTACTTAAACATGACATTGCTAAAGGTCGAACAAGGGCACTTTGAGACCGCCATCTTGATCCTTCACAATTTTTTCGTCTTTTATTACGGGTGCAGGTGTTTGGAAGCATTACATAAAATATCTTCATGATTCAAAAGCTGTAAACAGTGATGCAGCTGTTTAATGGTTCATATTTAAGTGTGGATGCTGCTTCGAGGCATTTCTGACCTAATTCGGCTATCGGTACAACGCACGTCAGTTTCGCCTGCTACAACTGGGTAGAGTATAAAAGATCATATATTTTCAAATCTCTTCCAATGAAGCAATAATTGATATTTAGATATAGACTTTAATTCGAAAGTATGCGCCCTATAAAATGTGGTTTTAGAAGTTTAAAAGGCAGCTTATTTTTTTGAAAGCTGTATCGAGTATTGTTAATCCTGTAAACAAGCTTTAAAAATATTATTCTCTCGCTTACAAAGTTCAACCGACCTTTTTCGTTCTATTTAGTAAAGATGCGTAACTTAAGTAGAAACGGTAGCGTTAGGAATAAAATTGGAAGAAGCTAGTTGACACAATAATTAGATACTGTTATATTGAGTGGAGTAACATGATATAAGTAGAAATATATTTCGGCAGTTTGATAATTTTCTTGAAAGTTAAAAATGTTAGGCTATCAGCCTTGACGTTGCATGAAACATAATTTAATTGCAGATGTTGTAACAAAGCCGAGGTGATTTCTTAAAATCGTTTGAGAAAAATTTTTAGTAAAACAATTTGCCTCTTTTTTACGTACGAATTGTGAAAGGGCCAAAGACCAACATCTTCACATGCAAATTGTGTGCATGAGTTATTTTTATAATTCTGTTTACTAGATTACTGTGTGATAACTCGAATTCCCTCACGTACGAACGACGAAAGGGGGCAAAGTCCAACACTTTCACGTGCCAGCTGTGTGACTGTACATCTCATGCAGATTGGCTTTTCACAATAATAATGGTAACTTGGACGTATGAAGACCTGTTTTGTTTAGTAACCAATGCCTTAAAAAAGGCTCTTGTCTTTTAAGAAGCAATGGCTTTTAAAACATGACGAAATAAGTTGTCAGAGTTAAAGACTGTTTCACAAATGTTAATAAATGTTAGGTTATCAATCTTGACGTTGCATGAAACATAATTTAATTGCAGATGTTATAATGAAGCCGAGGTGATTTCTTAAAATCTTTTGAGACAATTTTGCAGTAAATAATTTGCCTTTTTTTAACGTACGAATTGTAAAAGGGCGAAAAACCAACATCTTCACGTGCAAATTGTGTGCATGAGTTATTTTTATAATTCTGTTTACTAGTTTACTGTGTGATAACTCGAATTCCCTCACGTACGAACGACGAAAGGGGGCAAAGTCCAACACTTTCATGCGCTATACTTACAGCCCACCGAGCGGGTACAGCGTGTACAGCACCTTCGCACGAACATTCCTGGCAGGAACATACAACTTCACACCAGGGGAAATAGAAACGTTTTACGAAACAACGCAAGTTGAATAATTCTAATGAGTTACAACCGGCTTTTATGTTTAAGTAATAGGCTTGTTATCTTCTTATGTATTATGATAACTGTAACTAAATAATCTCTAAAATCGATTGTCCCAGTAGGCTTATAAGTAAAAAACTCTTTGCATCTGTAAGAAAAGAGGCTAAGAAATGTTAGAGAACATAAATAACAATCTTTATACACTTAGCTCACTTCGCATAGAGTGATTTTCAGTGAGGGCCTGTAAAACAATAGAAAAATAAATGATCTTAGATAAATGAATGCGTAATAGTAATAATAAGTAAAAAGTTAAGAACTAAAAACCTAAATTATACAAGCTACAGGTTAAAAATGTTAAAATATTAAAATATTAAAATATTAAAAGCTATAAAATATCTAAAATACATAGCTTTTAATGTTCTGTTTAAAAAGAAGAAGAGAGTTAATTCCTTTAAACGATTCGTCTAAAATGTTCCATTCCTTAGCGCATTGATAAAAAAGTCTCTGCTTTCCGTAATTCCTTTTAACGAGAGGAAGACGGAAAACGTTCCTTCTCAGTCTAGTGTTATAACCATGGATGTCTGAGTTTCTCAAAATATTAAAATTGTGATCTACAAGTCCGTGGATGTACTTGAAAGTGGTAATGTATCTATGTTCAAGGCGCTCTTGAAATAAGGTAGGCCATCCTAGTGTTTTGAGAGCGTCGGTAGATGAAGCATAGTTGGGCAAATCAAGGATAACTTTGGCAGCCTTTAATTTTGCAAGAGCTGTAAATCATGCATTAATGTAATATTATCTCTGTCCCCCCAGATGGTATCAGCAAAGTCGAAGAGAGGTCTTATTAAAAACATTGTATAATGCGACTCGCGCATCCAAAGGCAATAGATATTTGATACGATTTAACAAGCCAATTCTTTGATTCACTTTCGCAATCAATGATTCGATATGCTCATTCCAAGTCAGATTCTTATGAATGACAACACCTACAGTGTAGATGCTTGATTGAATCTTCACTCTCACGGTTTTCGTGATCAACGACAAGCTTAACACCTTGGCAGGTTTGCAACCTTTTATCCCCCACAAACTTCGATAATACATGGTTACATATAGCAGTTGGGTTGTTAGCAGTATGTGTTAAGCCCCGAGCAAACGGACGCAACATTGTTGGCCAACAACTACCAACATTGCCTTGGATGTTACATGTTGCGTCCGTTTGCACACCCTGCTGCATGTTGTTGGATGTTCTTGCGTGTTGCTGCGCAAAGTTTGAAACCGGTCAAACGTTTCAGTCAACAACTCCGGGCCCAACATTGTTGGCGCAACAAAGCTGGGAGTTGTTGCGCGGTTTGCACGCAGCAGGCTCGAATACACTGAATACATAGTTTGAGCGAAATCTGCAAGAACGTTATCGAGAAATTTTGGAATGAAGTTTTTATGGTTAGAAATACTGTAAAAAATGGACAATATTGATGTTCGGCTGTTATCTGTTGAAGTTTGACATGCAATTTCACTTAAGCTACTTTTTGCACGACAGCTCACACAGCGAAAATGTAGCCTCTGCTCGCAGGGTACCTCATAGTAGTTTCAATTTTTTAAAAAACGTGTGTGAAAGATAGCTCCAGCCGATTGCTAGAAAGAAGAATTTGATTAGTATGTATCGAGGTATTCTTGTTAGCGGTTTTGTAAACATTTCGGTCTACTTTAACATACAGCCTGTATTAGCGATACATGATAATCAAAAATGCAAATTCTTCTTTCTAGCAAAAGGGTTTCTCTAAACAATTTTACAATTTTCCTCGTCATCCTCTTAAATCAGTTTATTGTGGAGGGCTATCCCAACACGCACTCCTTCTTAATGTTCTAAATTACTTTCTTGTTAATGATGTTGTTTGAATGTGTTCTTCGAGAGCTTTTGCCTACTGATATTATAGTAAGTGGTATTCTAAAATTATAGGCTTAAACATTCAGTCAGTGAAGAAAAAAGTTACTTATAATAAGATATTGTCTTAAAATAAGCAAGCTGCAGCCCTCGTGAGATTAAACATTACATGCTACATCACCTAAAATAATCACTATCTCAAATCTTTAATGCCTATAAGCCAAAAAATAACAAGTTTTTCGAATTGATTCGGATACTTATCGACAGGAACCAAAAATATCTGTTTTTAAGTCATTTTCTACCAGAATTTTGACGATATACAATCATTATGGAATGCCGCTGGTAAGGTTAAAATGATGCAACAGAAAATACCGTAGCTAGTGTGTAAATCTGCAACCTTAGAAGTGTTTGATTAGAATCGAGGGACTTTCATCTTGTTTCAGTTTGCATAGTTAATAGAAATTTGTTCATTTTTCAAAATGAAGTTGAAATAAAGACCCTTTGGTGTTCCATGTTTCTTAGACGCAAGCAAAATGGACGATCAATATGATCCTAAGGCCTTTTTATTTTCAGTTGTGAACAAACCAGGCTGGGAACCAGTTAAACTGCCTCAAACAGGAGAAAATAGTGCAAAGCAACAATTCTTGGTTGAGACTTTTGTGATATTCGGAATAATCGAGGTCATGGTAAGTTTCCGCCTTCAGCTCGACTAATAACTCTTACCTCCACCTTGATTTTCCCGCCGAATATGACAAAAACCTCATCTAAAACTAATAAAATTGTTTAATATTTAATTTGGAAATTCATTACTGCCTGCCTGGTTCCGAATTTAATGGCTAAATCTGTCTCGTTTTAAATTTTACATTTTAAGGCTCCCACTGTTTAGCAGACTGTGATAACATGTTGTTATCGACAATGCAAATAACTTTCTACTCAGTTATTTTGTAGCATAATGGGGGAGGGAGGGGGGAGCAAGTGTGTCTCGTAATTGATCTGTTATCAAAGTTCAAACAGTAAGAACCGCTACCATATTGAGTGAAACATAAAAAACCGCTCAAAACGATGATAAAAAAAAGGTATAAATAACACAGCTATTGAAAAACTCAGTTACTATTGAAGCGGAGTGCAATTTGGGTTTTTTGCAATTTTTGTTTTGGTATTTGTTTATTTATTGGTTTTAATTTAGTTTTCTCTTTTTCTTTTTGGTTAGAGCATAAAAAATTGGCATTTTGAGGCAAACATCCGATAAAAGACTGGCGCCTCTTCTTAGATATTCTCACGTTTTCAGGTTCTTGGTTGGAATCGTGCAGCATTTTATTCTGACACAGCTGTGCACCTTGCATAATCAGGAGTTAACAATCATTAACAGCCAAGTAAAAAGCGGAGTCACCTGAATAAGCAAGAAGAGAACACAAAAGTCTCTAATAAGAACTTTCATTTACAAGTTAAAGATAGCCTTCTCATGCAGCATTAAATAAAAGGAGGTGATCAAGTAAAAATATCTAAAATACTTTAAAGGAAAGAAGAATATAATCTCAAAATCATTGCTCTATCGAGAAAAATTTGCGCATTTAGATCGATACATTTTTTTACGTTTAAGGTAAATAGGTCATTAATAATAATATATTTACTAAAAGCGAAGTGGCTGTTTTAGATATTAAGTAATTATCTTATAAAAAAAGTTGAGTTACCGGTAGTTAAGAAAGAACACTGTTATCATGCAATATGACAAACCCCTTAAAAATTACCTGCAAAATATTTCCTGTTTTTTTTTTGGCATTGTCAAAAGTACTTCATAGTTTTATAAGTGAATGAAACTGTTTACTTTTGTCTTTCGCCAGGATAAGAGAAAGTTTTGATTGAAAAAGCTGGTGTAGCGTCAGTGGGGTAGTGAAATACAAAGATTGTTTTTTTTCAAAGGTTTATAGAAAAGATTGGCCAGCGTGGGGAATTGAGAAGCTGGTAGTTTCGAGTATTAGCCCTCGTCAGAGCGAATCAGAGGATTATGGCCTGTGAGATGTTTACAATTAGAGGTTTGGAGTACTGCCATACTGTATTTCCCGTTACATGCCAATTTCCATGTTCAGCTGTTCATTGTGTGCTAGCTGCCCGGGAAGGGGTGGGGGGGGGGCACTTGGGTATTTTTTGGATGGATATGTGCCTCCCGGGACTCCAAATTGGTTCCCCATTCTAAAAAATATTTTCCCTAAAATTGATACCTAGTGCTAGAAATGGGCCAATTTTTTTTATACCCCTTTCTAGAATTCGCCCTAAAACTGATACCCCGTTCTAGAAATGGGCCAATTTTTTATACTCCGTTCTAGAATGTTTGTAAATTGAAATAGCCCTGTTTTTTTTTCTTTAAGATATTTCTTTATTTGTTAGACTTATACATCAAATAAATGCTTCTTCATAATCATCCGGAGTACGTTTCCTGTGCGTGTGGATACAATGTGGTTAATTATGACGCAAAATCTCTCACCACGCACAGAACCACGCTCGTAAGCTAACGATTTTCCTTCTCCTCCCCCGTCCCTTTCTTTTGAGTCCGTCTCCATCTCCCTCGGGTACATTATGGACTCGTTCCAGACTTCCCCGCGCCTATTTATCCAAGATGGCAGAGTCAGCGCTCGTGGCTCGCGCCAAAATACGCCCGTCCTGTACGCTAAAACACTGTGCCACAAGAGTACAACAGTTTGCTTATTATACCCCGCTCTAGAAAACGCCTCTGAAATGGATACCCCGTTCTAAATCAGGAGCTTGAAAATCACGACCCCGTTGGGCGGCACATACACGTATAGCTAATGTATGGGAGTACCCCCCCCCCCCCCACCGGGTAGCTAACAGTAGAAAATCTAGCAGAACTCAATTAGACATTCAATTTTGGCCCATAGTTTTCTCATCACTTGCCTTTTTTTAATTCAGATGCACCACAGTGCCGAGACTATACAGTTCTTACTGAACCTAATCGACAGCAGTCCTTTGGCTATGGTAGTAACTCAGACAACAGACTCGTCCCCGGCTGGTACCGCTTCCAGTCAAGTTCATATTCAAGAATAGTAGACAATTGTATCCCCATTCGCAAATGCAGCTCTGATCTGACTGGGTGGCTGAATGGCGAGCATCCCACCTTTGAGGATTGTATCGTGAGGAGCGAAGTTTGTTTCCACGGATTATTAAACTATTGTTACAGGACAGTTAAGATACGCGTTAGAGAGTGTCAAGGTTACTATGTGTATGAGTTAAACCCGTCACCTACCGAAAGGTTCAGCCGCTATTGTGCAAGCGGGCGAACGTTATCGAGCGCTTTAAGCACAAGTCAAGATTCGATTAACGGACAGCACGCGTTAGTAAAAAAAACTGTTTCTTGAACTGATGTCGTTGGAAATAAAACCAAAAAAGGTGCAATGAGTTATTTTCTTGCCCAAGAGCTCAATTCAGTACGCCCGCATATGCGTTGAAATACTAACCCGAGGGCTGGTCCGCTCAGTCTGTCCGGATATCAAACACTTGTAATGTAACAAAGTAAGGTGCGCTACTTGGGGAACTCTAAGTCGTATGTATAAACAATACAAAAAAGACTCATTTATGTCTAAGACACTGCTAACAAACAAAATGCGCTAGTAAAAGACCGTGTCAAGCAGCTGTCATTGTAAATATAACAAAAATGGACAGCGAGTTACTTAACCCGCATATGCGTTGTGTGGCACTTAGAGAGGTGCGGCTAAGTCTATCGCCCTTAACCTTAACTATACAAGGTAAACATGGTGACGTTCAACTAGAATCTTAATCAAAATAGTTGTATAACTGGCTCAGTACTAACACATCTACAATCTTGAAAAAAATGTTGAGAAAAATGGACGATACTGCGTCTAGTTTCAAAATAAAGCTTGAAAGCACTGGCAACTACGGCTACTCAATCCCCCCTCCCACCAAAAACCACAATGTTCAAGCCCGGCTGGATCATTTCTGATCCCGAATAAACAAATTTCACCAGGGTGGGGCGAGGGGAAGGGCCATAGTGGTACCAAATCCTCGGGATAGGCGTTCTGTGGGTAAGAAAGTGCAAATCTCAACACTTTTTGTCCAAGATTGTAACGTATGAAGTGCACATATTGCCGCTAAATAATTAGGTAATCCCAGTTTGCAAGGAAATGTTTCCACTATTCAATAAAGTATGTTTGCCAGCGAACATAATCTCCCTTGGTCCAGTTCACGCAATATGCAAGAGAAATCACTCTAATGAAAATGATATTGTTACGAGGCGGGAGGCAGAAAGTTAATTAGGGACAGACCAATAGGAAAGTTGCATGAATTTTTTTCGTTAGCATTTTCTTTGTATTAATTTTCTTAGGCCAAGGCATGAATATTTTTTGGCGTTACTTGGAGTGCTCTAATTTTATTCATTTAGTTTTCCCTTGCACGAATATTATATTTTTGTACCTCACCTCCCACCTCCCCCATTAATGTTTTTGATGGTCCGCGCGTGGCCCCTTGCCGTCCCTATAAAGACTTGTTTTTTTTTACGTCAACCTTAATGACATGTTTCTCCAGGCGAGATTTTTAAGGATCAAATTTACTGGCATGATTCCCACTCATCTCCATCTTCCGTGCATGGGACGATTGGCAAGCTGCAGAAATGAAATCCTCAAACTCCCCGGCAGAATCTCGTCGTCTCCTTGATATTGTTCCGTCAATAAGACCATCGTTTCTTTCTGTTGTATTAGTTTTCGTTTGCGGATGTCTCTGGGTGAAGAATGAAACAACAAACGAACGACTGATAGCGCTGGAATCTCGCGTTAACCTTTTCCCCTGCGTTCAGAGTGTCTCGACTGAAAATACTGACAGGATATCTCTTTCACCGACAGAAGCTACAACAAGAGATCTTTATAAGAAGGTTCAGACACATGTATCCGAAAGGATCGGTTATACATCAGGTAAGATCTTCACTTCAGATGTTATTTAGATGCAGATACATGTTTAGAACTGAGTTTATCCTCTTTTGATTTAGGTATAATCTTTCATGGGGTGAGTTTGCGCTTACATACGGGATCTTTGGATATTGCATAAGATAACTGAATTTTTAACTTCAACTAACACTGTATAAACCCTTTTGCAACACTCTCGCTCTTTTGTAATACTGCTTAGATATTCACTAAGCCACCTATACTGGTAAAACCATAAAGACATTTACGGTGTAAATGATGTTTAATTCATAGCTTAAGTGTCGAACGACTTGCTCACGTACAAGATATGTGGTCAATACCCAGGGGGGTCAGTACTCCTTTATATAAGCCATATCGCTATGTCCCGCCACAAAGGGTGTAGTTCTTGGGCCTTAGTGGTCTGAAAACGGGTAAAAACGTGGGTCATTTTGTTCCGGAATCGGCTTTGGTTTTCGAGGAAACTACTGCCGCGTATGCATGAACGTACTTATCGTTTTGGTTCCACATGAATAAGAACGAAATAGAAATATGTGAATTCGAAATGCGTTTGAAGAATGTTTTTGTTTGCGCTCTAATCTAAGTAATAATGACGCAATTCTGTCTAAAAGCCAGGTCTGAAAACGGGTGTGGAAAATTGGTGTGAAATAGCACTGTCTGAATAAAATTGTTAGGGTAGCGTAAAATTTGAGAGATGTGCCTCTAGACTGAGTTCGGTTAAGGAGTCTAGGGCCTGCCGGCGTACTTGATAAAACCTTTGGTAACTTCGATAGGGTGGCAAGATTGAAAGTGCGTTTATTGAACGGTCTCAGTTGGTTTGAAATGTGTGCATAGATCTAGAAATCTAGAATGTCAGCTTGGCTTTCCCTTAGAAGCAACAAGGGAAGAGGCGTGAGGACAAATTAAAAAGTTGGTTGCAATGTGTTCACCTTGTTGTAGAACGCAACCTCTAAAACGTTAACTTTATGTCAGAAATGTCAACCTTATCGTTCATTCCGTTCATTCGTTCGTTTTCTACCTTATACGTTTTGTAATATCAATCACTGCATGGATACTAAAAAATTCTTAATCTTACTTGATTGCAGTCAGCCCGTTGTCATTAGAGGCATCAGCAACCATCAGGTTAAGAAAGCGAAGAAACGTTTTGAACGACACTTCAACTGGCATCACCATACATGAAGTGAGAAAAGAAATCAGCAAACAGTTTGAACAACTTATGCCCACCAAGTACTGTAAGTCAAGTGAGAAGGTGTGTCCTGCAGGACCCCCCGGATATCCTGGTCCCATTGGAGCGAGGGGACCAAAGGGAAAGAAAGGTCCTCAAGGTCCCATGGGACCTCCTGGAAAATCCGGAAAAACAGGAATAACGGGTCCCGCAGGACCGAGAGGAGAAAAGGGAAACAACGGAGAGCCTGGGCCAAAAGGCATGCCGGGACCACCTGGAAGGCCGGGAAAATCGATATCTGCTCCACAAGTGATGTTGTCACCAGCAGAGCAGACACGAGATGAGGGAGGAAATACGGCATTTTATTGCACGCTCGCCGGAAATCCTTCCCCAGTCGAGGAATGGCATTTTAAGGGCAGAAAACTTCTGTCGGGTGCAAAGTATTTGATTAAAGAAGGAGAGTTGATAGTTAAAAATCTGAATTACAGTGATGCTGGGCCGTACACATGTGTTGCTAGGAACATTCTTGGATCGTCCGAGGCCACTGGTAACTTGTCTGTTCGAGGTGAGAGAAGCAATTCTTTCTTGAGGTTTGTTGTATAACTGACAGGCCGTTAAATTTTGTTTGTTATATCAGTATGATATGTTACATGTTCTTGCAAGGTAATAAGTTTGCGAGAATTGAACGACGCATAAACATCTCAAGAAAACTATAAGATGTGAAGGCACACATGCTGAACATCATCCTCGCCTGATCTTTATTTTGACACGCTTTTGAGAATCCGGTTAAGGCTTTAGTAGCCGTCAAACTACGACTTCTTGAAAAAACCCTTTAACAGATTTGCCAGCTAATAACTAATTGGTTTCACCGCTCCCTCCTTCTTTTCTGTTATGCAAATGAAGATTTTTTGAACAAAGTTTCCCGGAAAAGAAAACGCCTAATTTGTCATTTTTCTCAGTTGAAATCTTGCCGTTCTCCGGAGGGTACTTCTTCTAATGTCCTGTACAGAGAGGCTCCTTCCGAAAGGAGAACTATTTTGAGGCTTCAGGTATAAGAAAGGGTTGGTGTTTTACTAGTTGAAGTACATAATAGTGTAGGGAAATCTGTCATTTCGGTCTCTAAGAAGATCTAAAAGGGCTAGCGGAAGGATTTTATGGCTGTGAAAAAGTCGAGAAATTTTTCTGCCTTTGTGATTTATTTATATTTTTAAGACAGTGCGTTGATCTCCCTTCATGCAAAGTTCTAAACTACGCATGTGAAAGGGGCACCTTTTCTGTTGAAAATTACATATAGTGTTGGACCTCGGGGCTGAGCCTCCAAGTACGAAACGTGCGGAAAGAGAGTCAAAAAACAAGATTTCATCCACGGTTAACTGTTATTTTTTCTGCTTTTTTAACGCGCGCGTTGTCGGGTTATTTAGTTGAACTTTTCTCCGGACCGAGTTGGCTTTACCCTTTCGGTGCTGACTCTCTTTCCAGGTCTGTTCACTGTGCCCCTGATGAGAATGACAGACCTTCTGAGCGGACTAAAATTTTTAATATAACATCAGTCTATGTTCCCGTCTATGTTAGTGAGCTCCCTAGAACTTAATAACAGTGTAACATAGCTATTATATTTATCTATTTAGTTCTAGTACCATAGCTAAATGAGTATTTACCACTAACTTAATGCTATGCATTCTTATTAAAAAATAACTAACGTATTTGTGGCTATTCTTCTCGCAGCTGCATGTAGTTTACGCTCAATGAACTGGTGTGTAGTCATTGAACTACTGGTGTGGTTATTGATCTGTTGTGTACTTATTGAACTGCTGTGTCGTTATTGAACTAACAAAAAGGAAATCTCACCTCATGCAAAGTTCTAAACTACGTATGTGAAAGGGGCACCTTTTCTGTTGAAAATTACATATCATTATGGTGTTAGACCTCGGGGCTGAGCCTCCAAGTACAAAACTGTGTTGAGTACCCTTTTCCCCTCCCCGTCTTTCCCGATGTCGTCCAAGTAGTTTTAGTATGTAAACCTGATAATTATTTTTTCAGGTCTTCCAATATTCACAAAAGTTCCACCTTTACTTGCTGCACCGGTACAAGGCACTACATTCCAAGTAACCTGTAAAGCTGAAGGCTATCCTCCTCCCGTAGTAACCTGGACTAGAGTAGGAATGCCTTTACCTGCTGGAAAAACGAAAATAAACCAAGGCACACTTACCATTAACAACTTGATTCCTGCCGACAACGGTTTATACGACTGTGTAGCTACTAACATCATGGGAACAAAGAAAACTAGGGTCAACGTGGCAGTGCAGCGTAGCTCAGCTGCAGGTTTGTCTTAGGCTGTAAGGTCCGCACAGACATAAATTAAACATTTAGGAACATAAACATCAGGCCGCAGTTGTTCAAAAGTTGGATGGCGCTATCCATCGGATAAATCACTTTCCAGTGGATAAGTATTAGGGAAACCAATTGCACTATCCACTGGATAGAGATTTATCCGCTGGATAGCGCTATCCACGTTTTGCCTAAACTGACGCCTGGTGACCTTTGTTACAGGTCACAGAGATCGCAAGACCAAGGGTTCCTGAATCCTGTTTTAGACAACTTTAATAGGCTTAGCTGACTCAGACTACAGTGTATACTTAAGTGGAATGTAAAACATATAGGACCGCCGTTGGTGATGGCCTTTTATTCATTGTTAAAAAGCAGTGTCGTTGTTAAAGGCTGAATCGAATATGCTCGTGCAGCAATTGTTTAAAGGGAAAGAAGGAGGGAAGCCTATACTCGAGTTTAAGTATAAATCCTAAAATTTGCTCTCCAGAAAATAAAGTGACTTTTGCTACCTAGCCTCTAGTCACTCGCAATGTTACACTTGATAAAGGATTCATTTGATGCCGAATTTTTAAATAGCTCTACTTGGCTTCAACAGAGTCAGGGGCACCCAACGACAATTTTCGGAAAATATCTGTTCGGAAGACGATTGGAGATCTAGAATTTTCGGAACATTTGTTGTAAAATTTCTTGCTTGCCTGCTTCTGCTAGGATTTTCGAACATCTAAAAAATGGTATAATTGCCAATTTTTAACGGATTTTTACGCTAAAAAGGTCACCTAGAATTTTCGGGAGCCGTTTTTCTGGCTGGAATTTTCGAAAAGTAAGTTTTGATCCCTATAATTTTCGGGTCACTAGACTTTCAGCTAGGAAATCCGAACAGATGAAAAACCTTTAGGGGATAAAAACATGCCTATATCTACCGTTTCAATACTAAAATACGTTTAACAATGCTATGTTTATAATAAGTGGTTTTGAACTATATTCTCGTTGGGTGCCCCTGCAGAGTTCTTTTGTCAAAAAGGAAAAGTCGAATTTTTTTCCCCAGGTTTGCACGACTCTGTTATCGTGGGAAACAACAAAAATCACTTAACCTCGTTAAGCAACTGCCTTGCACCTGTCACAAAAAGCGTCAATTCTCTCTGGAAGCGCTGCTGGCGTGCATCCGTAGACGGCTGGGCTGCGAGTACATTTCACTTACGATGTGACAGCAAGGGCCCGACTGTGACAATAATAAGGGTCGGGAGATATATTTTCGGAGGATACGCAAGTATGTCATGGGGTAAGTGAGCATTGTAAGCCATGGCAGTGGCATCTATACCTTTGACGTAATCAGTTAGCATTGATATGTTCAGCTAAAAGTGCAGCTTGGTACTTAGCAATATGGAATCATGTGACTCTACCTTTCATACATGGTTAAGCAGTGGCGGACAAAGGTTCTAGGTTAATAGCTCTAGATGCGGGCCCATTTCCCGTCGTTCCTCAAGGGGCGAGGACCGCCCCTCCTTCACTCACATGGAGTGAATGAGCGCCCCCCCACCCCTCTTCTCAAGTTCTGATTCTGCAGATGATAAGTGATGCATTTCTAGCCTGTCAAAACGGGTCCAAATTCCAGGCTAACACTATTACAATAATAATTTTTAGGTTATAAAGTATCGATATTGTTCTGACTTTCTTGCCACCCTGCTATCTTCCATCCTTCAATTCCCATATTGCAAAAGATGCGAATAACGTACTACATCGCAAGTTTTTGGTGAAATTCGCAAATTTTGGCAAAGAAAAAACACGCTCTCTTGACATGTCCACGTACGTAATACACCAAGACGAAGGTTCATTTCACCCATCAAACTTTCGTAATTTTGCCTAAGCGAAATGTTCCGAAGAGGATTCTTGTCTTCGGATTCGAACGAACTTAATAAACTGAAATGGGTGACAGAAATACATGATGTTTTATACCTTTTCAAGGATAAAGGCTCCTAAAACTCTTTATTATCTGTTTCCTTCATTGTCTTCTTAATACAGTACCCTTAAAATCAAACGAAGTATTAATTTACCAATAAAAGTGTATTGCGACATGCACCAGTTCATATAAAAACGAAGCTTCTAGCTTCGGTAAGTGGTAAAAAAAGACAAAAACAGATAAATTTGGAGATTTGCTCCATAAAGTTATAAAAGAACCTATCTTAGTAATTACTATTTTTTTTCCCCAGATCTATTGCTTGTAATTGCAAATCTTTTAAAAATAACATCTCCCACAGGCCAGCACCTTAGCCTCGGTGAGCTTGCAGCCACATAAAACTTTCTCCTGAGCGGACGAACCACGGTTGCCATGAGTATAGCTGTATCTTTTACCAAAATACCTGAACGTAAATAATAATGCAATAAAATAATATTCATACTAATGATAATGATGATGATGATGATGATGATGATGATGATGATGGATGATGATGATGATGATGATGATGATAATAATAATAGTAATATTGATAATGATAATGATCATAATAAAGAAGACACAGAAACTGATTTCGTTTTTGATAAATGACGAACGTTACTGAGAAACTCTATCGAATTTGTTTTATGAGAATTAAAGGTATTTACTGTTTTTAATTAATGTAATAATAATAATCATCGTCATCATTATGACAGGCACAAGGACAATGTCGCTAACTTGTCTTAGAAAAGTTTTGTTTCATTTCTTTTAGCTTCTAGTTCTGGCCGGTTTCAATACGACTCAAAAGCCTTCTTATTTTCGCTGGTAAACAAGCCAGGATGGGCGCCTGTCAAATTGTCTCAGTCAGGGCAATATAGCTCTTACAGATGGTCCATACACTTTTACTCATCCTATGGGCCTACATTCGGAGGAGGACATGACATTTACATCAGAGACTACGCGTCATCTAATAGCTATTCTTACAGCAACCTTGGCTGGACTTACAGCCCACCGAGCGGATACAGCTACGGTAGCACCTTCGCCAAAACATTCCTGGCAGGAACTTACCAGTTCACACCAGACGAAGTTGAAACCTTTTACGAAACAACCTAATTAATATAATGCGTGACACCGGCTTTCATATTTGAGCTGAGTTGATTGTACAAGTAGACACTTAAAGGTGAACGACTCTACAGCACTAAGCAAGCCCCTTATATCTAAATCACAACACAATCAGTAGAACGTATACTACAACATTTTACAAACAAACGAAAAATAGAATAGTCAAAAAGAGAAATGATTTTGATATCTCTAACTGGTCCAACTGCTCTGATTATAAATGGCTGATAAAAGCGTGTTATAAAGTATCTCCGAAGCTGTTCACAGTACCGCGTAGGACTTAACCCAACCCTAATCTTTTTTCACTTGGGTGTTCGAGTCTAGCTGGGGATAGCTATATTGTCATCTGTCAGAAAACAGTTACATCCTTATCTTGAGGGCAAAGAAATCTCAGCTTCCGAGTAAACAAAGTTGTAAAAAAAAAGCAGTACAGTGATATTTTACTGAACCAGGCTGTCCTCACTGGCGGTTTGTAACTGTGGCTTGGCCTTCATAAGAATTATAATAATCCATAAGGAAACTTAAGAGTCTTAAGAGATAACACTGATCAAAGTTTGGTTTTAGTCGGTCCGCGTGCATAATGCCGGATACCACTATATAAATATTAGTAAACGTCCGTCTTCGAGTGGCTGTGAAAGAAAACGATCGTCAAACTACAAAAATGAAAACCGTAAACTCTTCCAAATCTCAACGAGTCCTTGAGTTTGTTCCGTCAATTAGACCATCGTTCCTTTCGGTGGTATTAGTTTTAGTTTGCGGATGTCTCTGGGTGAAAAATGAAGCAACCAACGAACGACTGATTTCACTGGAATCTCGTATTTACTGTGTTCCTTGCGTCAACCCCGACTTATTGGAGCAGGTGTTCCAACTCCCTGGAGTCAGGTTACAGAAAACGTGCGAGGAAGTTAACCTTCCTTCACAGCAACGGAATAAAATTCACGGTTTTTTTTACGCGGGTGACTACTTTTTTCTAGTGTGAGTATATTCAGCCCGTGCCGGAAATACAACATTCTTAAGACTCCACAATACCGCAAACAAGCCTAAACAACTGATTACTGACTCCCATAGCATAAGAAGCCCATAGACTGCTGTAATTCAAGGTTACCGAATATGGTACTGTCAGTATATCACATAGCAAGTCGGTGCCCCAAATACGCTACCGTCCACCTTAGAAAAGCGGAGAATTAGTTCCTTCAAGACTTCTACAGAGTCCACGTAATTCTCCTTATATACCTAAGTGTGAAGTATTATTGCAATGTTACATCATTTTGCCTAATTTATGTAATTGTGGTCGCAGAAATTAAGACTCTATCATCAGATCATGCAGCCTAAAATAAGAAACTGCTTATATTAAACAGCTAATTAACTAACGTACTAATCAGGCGTTCAACCGACAAAGAAACTTTTTATTCTGCAGTATGACAAAGGTTTAATACGATCTTGGCGTTTGTCTGATTACTTAAATTTACTCCAAGCTAGGAAACACTGAGAGCTGCTTTCACTGAAATCAAAATCAACAAAATCATGAGTGCAGAGCGAAGAAGAAAAGATATAAAACTCTTATCGCAATTTCTTTTCGTGTCTTGCATTTACGTTTTAAACGCACACGGGATCGGGGAAAAGTTTATACAACTACGATTTGTTTTTCAAGATTCTCTCTACCTCAATATAACACCACTAGAAACTCTTCTTGTCGACGACAAGTTCGACTGTAGCTTTGCTTGTGTTCATAAGAAACTCTGTATTTCCTTCAACTTGGCAGAGACGTCTGCAGAAAAACTTTGGTGCGAGCTTCTGCCATCTAGCATCTATAACAACACAGGGGAAATCGTTTTAAATTTTAAATTTGACCATTACAGCATACAGGTTAGTAGCAAACCTACAATAATTGATGTAGCCTAATATATAATTGCGCATTTTTTACAACTTACGGTGAACCACAGACGAGAATGAAAGTTATCTATCTAGAAGTGAAGATATAAAAGAGCAAAACAATTAAAAAGCGGGTGTTATTTTTTTTACTTCATTTTTCGGCGTGATTCAGCCACTTAACATATAATGTTTTTAGGTTTATGTCTGGTTGTTCGATTTCTATATTTTTTTGTTTCTTCAAATGTTAACCGACATTTTTTTGTAATCCCGAAGAGCTTTCTAAATACTGTTAGTAACTAACTGTTTTATTTATTACTTCCAGCAAAAATGCACTTGACTGGTAGAACAAACTATACCAAGAAAATGACGCTTGAGAACTTCGATAAAAGCTACTAACAGTCTGGCCCGGGTTGCTCGAAGCATGGTTTGTGCTAACCAGCGTTAAATACCATGGAAACCTATACATTTTGATACCTCTTAACCAACGGTTAGCGCTAACCAGGCTTCGAGCAACCGGCCCCAGGTTGTTGGTTGTATTAACAGGCTCTCGGAGTAAAATGGCAGCATTGATAATGAGGAAGTGCAGATCGTTTGTTTCCATTATAATCGTAATCATTGTGTTTTAATGTCATGATTTTTTTTCCTGCAGAATCCTTGTACTAATGTTCCTTGTTTGAACAATGGGATGTGCTCCCTGATTTCGTTCAGAGATGGAACGTATAGCTGCACTTGTCTTCCTGGATATTTTGGCGATGAGTGTGAAATCTGCAAGTTAACGTAAAATTACTTCAAGTTAACAAAAGCACCTTTTCGAGATATGAACAAGCTATTAAGATTTAGTAAAATCCAACTAGTGGTTTATTATCAATGCTGCGTTCTGATTGGTTGAGCTACTACTAGGCATATGTTACAGCCCACTATATCTAGTGGCGAAAAGCGCGATCTTTTTGGCGGCAAAAAAAGATTAAAGTCTAGCTTTAACTAGCTAAAAGTTTTTTATTCTCGATATTTTTGACCAACTAGTTGGATTTTACTAAGACAATTATTCCTCTCGCCCTCATGGCCTCTAAGTCAATAGCCCTTTCGGCCTTCGGCCTCATGGGCTATTGACTCAGAGCCCATTCGGGCTCGAGGAATAATTGTTAAATAGTTACAACAACAACAACTAACAACCAGCTCAAATCGTTAGATACCCAAGCTTCTAGTTAGAGCTGTTCACCTCGGCTTTGTATTGTATGTGAATACAAAATAGCGGAACTCTTTTACTTTTTTTTGTTAATTCAGATGCACCAGAGTTGCGGGACTATAACGTCCTCAGTCAACCCAATCGTCACCAGTCTTTTGGCCGAGGCACTAACTCAGACAGCAATCTTGTCCCCGGCTGGTATCGCTTCCAATCAAGTTCATACTCAAGAATGGTAGACAATTGTATTCAGGTCCACAGATGCACTACAGATATAACTGGGTGGTTAAAAGGTGGCCACCCCACCTTTAAAGATGGCATCGTGGACAGAAAAGCTTGCTTCCACGGATGGGAAAACTGTTGTTATAGGATACTTCAGATACGCGTGAGGGAGTGTCAAGGGTTTTATGTGTATGAGTTAAACCCGTCACCTGAAGGGCGGTATCGCTACTATGCAAGAGGATGAACGGTATCAGGTCCTTCATTATGACTTGAGGAACTCTGGATCGTACAAAAGGGATTTCATGTCGAGGACGTTGTGCTTGCGAAAACTACTCATGTCATTATTAATAGCGGAGCTCAACCCGCGCGCAAAGCGCGCGCGTGGGCGGAGCCCCATAGCTAAGGAAATGTGGTAATCTACCTATTCCAGAAAATTTGGTAATCACGTGACCGTACACCTAGCGAGCGAGCGATCGAGCGAGCGACCGTCCGTCCGCACCACAGGCATACCAATGTAAAATAACTAAATCAACAGGTATGGGAACACAAATGCAACTCAATGTTTTGTTTGGAAGGAAATCACATGGCCGCCCGGACTTTTAGAAAGAAAAAGGTCGTGTCTTTTTCGGCGTTATTTTTTATGTGTACACTAATGTGGATAACGGAGAAAGAGCTAGAGCGAGTTATTGAAAATTCGTTGGAAGAAAAACATGGAAATTTAAAGCGGTGGTGAGAAAATGAGAAATGCTAGCGGCCAGGAAGGTGAAAATGAGCGGCAGTAAAAAGTAAAAGCGAACATGAACACTGGAAACAAAATATTGGGTAAGCAAATACGACAATTTCTCCATAAAAATAGTGTGTAAGTAGGAAGTTTGACGTTTTAGTCGTACAAAACAGTGTTGTAGTCGTGCAGAACAACAGCAAGGGAAAGACAATAAAGCGTGCTGCACCTGCAAATTTGCTTTTTGCTAATTAGAAGAAAAAGTGTGCTGCACGTGCAATTTGTTCTTTTGCTAATTAGATCTATTAGTTTCATTGTCGTCCCCCTTTTAGCGTTACACGATTTAATCTTTTTTGTTTACACGTATTATTAACCAAAGCTTTGCTTTTAGCCCTAGCTAAATCTATATATTAATGATATAGCAATAAGGAAATGATTTATCTAACCTAGCTGAGGCGCTCAATCCAGTGTCAACCTTATCTCTTTTTTTTTTCGCAAAAGAATCCAGATTACAACTTCTTCTAGATATGTACTAGATATCTTTACAATCAGCTATACGCTAAGGTCATCTTTGGAGATCCAGGGGCTGTTCGTCGGGTCGGGAGAAGCGGTGCGAAGATAGTTTTCAAGCCGTGCTTGGTTACCATCCTTAAACCGTTGTATTGCTTCCTTTTTGCTGTTGGCGTGACGTTTATTTATTTTTTATCTTTCAAAAGAATCATGTCTGTATTGCTTTACGTTAGGTGGTTATACTGATGTAATAGGTTAAGAGACAAATGCATGATTGCTGTACTTTCTGCAAGCTCAGCCAGGATCAATATACTAAATTCGTGCAATTTAATAAAATATTACACAATGGATTAATTTACTCCTGGGAAGCAAGGCAAGTGCGTCTCGGAAAATCCAATGCCTTCTTTGGAAGAGGTATCAATGTATTCTTAAGCTATCCATGTTGCGTGTTAGTGATGGCCCAGGCAATTACTTGAAGCTTTCCGGCCCAATGATGTACAAACAACTCAGTTTCTCTCGAATTACCCCGCGCATGTTTAACACTTGATGTCGGTTGACTAAATACTCATAAGTCACGTGACAACATCCAAGACTGTATCAGTCTGCTGATGAGGACTGTTTAAAACAATTGAAAACCTCACTGCTTTAACTTAGTCGTAAGAGTCTTGTGACATCTTAAGACCTGTCCAGAGTTATTTATACTGTTGTTAAGACTCCGTTTGCAGCATCATGAATGAACATTGACAATATCGTCCCTGAGTATTGCCTTTAATATCATAGGTGACGGATTACTCCTTAATTTTGGTGCGAAATTTCAGCGATAATTTGTAATTTCACATGTGAAAGTAGAAAAATTGTCATGGCAACCTTCCGTACGTCTCAGTGTCAAGATGGCGACGAAGTTTTAAAATGTCATGAATGAAGATGCCAGGGCATAAAAGACGCTTTAGAAAACCTGAACACACGAAGGAGCACATCAAGAAGGATTCTAACAAGTATTTTGTCGAAAAATTATGAACGTAAGCCAAATTTAAGCTCTAAACGTTCGAGAGAGTGGAGTTCTTGATCGATACGATGCAGGATAAACATGTCAAAAATCCAAGATTGCTAACGTAATTCGTCACCTATGATATTAATAGGTAATCAATTGGTATACTCGTGAAATTAGGGAATAATTTCACTTGCGTTTTGTCCAAATCCTGATAATTTCCCGAAATTTCCCTCGCCTAAAGGTTCGGGAAATTATAAGGATTTGGACAAAACGGGCGTGAAATTATTCCCTAATTTCACTCGTCACCATTTGATTACACATACTTATTTAATTCTTTGTTTACAAACCTGCTTCTTCATTTGTGAGACTTTACTAATTCAGTGGTTTTAGGGGGCTTTTATAATCCCCTGTTTCCTTGCGCTGGTGTCAACTTTCCTCTGCTTAGGACGCATGCCCATAAAAAAGACTGAGTTACAGTCTTTTATTAATCTGTAAATAATCATAGAAAAAATACATTACAAGGTTACTTGTTTTACGCTTACCGTCCTGTAAATTTATGACTTAGGCTAATTATATATAATAAGTTGTAATTATTTATATTAAGTAGTTGTCTTAACAAAAATCATAAAACTTTTAGTCGTGATGTAGGTATTTCAATCTATTGATATCTAAGCTCCTATATATTTGTATGGAAGGCCACAAGGTATTATTTTATTATCCGACTTTAAGAACTATTATGTGTGTCGAAAAGTCTAAAGTCGCCGGCCGTTGAGAGAAACGAAGACCTGTTTTGTGTGATCAAGGCGCGCACAAGAACATCCATGGATTCAGGTTGTTTAGTTTAAACATCCATTCTTGTATTTCCGAAATTAAAAGCGAAGCGCAATTTCTTCTAATTTTGGGTTCATGATATCTACAATAGACTTGCGGTTCCTTAGAAACCCACAATTAGAAACAACAAATTTTGTTGTGTTATGTGCCTGCGACTGTTATAGTCACGTTGATGCGTAAAAAAGGGAACTTAACCACTAGGTCGTGTCATTTTTGAGACATACCGTAAACTTCCACTTATAAGTTTTCCCATTTATAGCCCCATCCTCCCACGCCGCCCCTCAACTCACCCCAGTTATAGACCCATCTACCTGTAACAAAAAAACTCCTTCCCCCGGATTAGCCCCCCCCCCCCCCTTTAGCTTGTATTGAAGCGAATTCGAATTTGAAGTTGAAGTTTATTTAATATCTTGTTCATAAGTATAAATTTAATTAATTGAAATTAAAACAAATATATACACACAAACATCCTAGGCCTCTGCTCGCAAAATAGCTTGGCTAGTCGAGGTGGGCAGACGAAAACGGAAAGAAATTTATACCTAGGAAGACTAAGAAGACGAAAGGAAAAGGAACTAGTCTATAAATGACACAATTGACGACACGATTTTTTCGACGTTTTGAAGCTCAAAAAAGCGAGAAAATGCAAAAAGTATGTTGATCAGAACTGCTATGTCGGTAGTTTGTTTTGAAACGTTTTTTTCAGCTGAGGCCGGTTATTGGTTAGTCTGCTATACAGCCACAGCCTTTTTTAGTGTCGTCACGCAACGCTCCTCCTGAGTTAGTGGGGAGGAGCGTTGCGTGACGGCACTAAAAACGGCTGTGTAGCAGACTAGTTATTGGTCCCCTCTTTTGTAAGCCCTCTAAAAAACCCCTTAAGAATTGTATAAGCCCAGGGCTTATAAACGGTAGTTAACGGTATTTCTCGTAGCGCCTTAGTTAGTTATCCTTGTTAAATACAGTCAACTCTCTCTAAGACGGACACCTAGCTGTCTGTCTTAGAGAGATGTCCGTCTTATAGAGAGTCAAATAGAGGGAGGAAAGAAAGGCAGGGACCAACTCTAGGTGTCCGTTTTACAGAGGTGTCCGTTAAGAGAGAGTCAACTGTACCTCATTATTTGTTACTTTCCATTTACTAGATGGTACCATATGGGAGAAAAAGTGGAACTGAACACTTAAAGGAAAAGCAAAAAAGCAAAAAAAAAAAAAATGATTCGGGGCTCCCTTAAGGAGTATCAAATTTTACGGACACGTACCTCGAGTAAAATTTGCAATGAAATTACAACCAGCTTTCAAATCTACAAAAAAGTCAGCACTACAACCCCCTGCATTCTTTTTTATTTACCAAATGGGGGAAAATTTGTCCAAAATGCTCGTTTTTTAAAAGTATTTTAGCCTTTTTCTACAACTGTAAATTAACTGATTAACTATTAAAAGTGGAAAGATTAGCAGCATACTTAAGTGGCTTTCCTTTTTATCGGGCCTTCCTTGCTTCCCCTCAGACTCAATCTTTTCGATCTGCCAACGATCGAATAAAAAGGACTTAGCTCTAAGAAATGTCAGAACAATGCAGCGAGTTTATCAACCAAATATATACTAAAATATACCCTACTAGGATGTTTGACTATTGTCAATTAATATATGATTAAGTACAAACTGGTTATTGCCTGGCTATGAGGATGCTAATCGCAAAGGTGGCGCAAATTGATTTAAATTGGCGCATAAGCAAATCGACAATTTACTACACTGACATATGTCGTTTTAAAAGCCCACAAGCTTGAAGAGAACTGCAATAATGACTATCGGATATCGTGCAACGCTTGGCAAAGCTGCTTGAACTATTGGCCACTAGAAAAACAAAGGGAAATTTTAATTCTTGAAAACGTCTAGCTACTGCAGTCGAAAAAGTTTACGATTTACGCAAGTAATTCACAGCATTTAGTAGATCATCTTAATTATATGTATTTGTGGTCTCAAAAAATTAAGACTCTCTTGTTAGATCAGGTTTAAAAAAGTGGAACTATTTATCAGAAATTGCAGTCAATTTTTTATTATAATCGACATTATAATCTTTCGTTCAACAAATCAAACCATCGCTCCGCCTTTCTGTGGCTGTTAACTGTCTTAACGCTTTACAGGTGGTATCGTCATTAGTGAATTGCTGGCTTCACAACAACATAAGAAGCTTTTCATT